AATCAATGTTATCAGAAATTGGATTTTTTTTAAAAAAAATCAAAAAATTTTGACCAATCTAGAATAAAAACAAATTATACTTAACCCCTTCAAACACGTTTATATCTCATATTGTCCTATCAACTATCGTATTTCCGCATTGCTTTTTAAACGATGATTACTGGTTTTACATTAGTCTCTCAACTATGATAATTGTTACATTTCCTAGATTAACATTAAAATTTTGTAACTTATTGCATGCATATGGATTTTTTTTAATTAAAAGTAACATAGACTTATTTTGGAATAATACAAAACTAAATCCAGTAATGCGAGTAAAACTACATTTGAGAAGGCAAAGTGCAATCGGAACCATAATTGAAAATGTTCAAAATCCAAATAAGAATACCATTTAGTACTAAAAATCTAATCTAATTTGTTAACTTAATGATTTAATTTCACTATAACTATTGAATTAATACCAAGTTTTAATATTTAATTGAGTCCAAAGTCAATCCAAAAGTTATAATGAATTAGGTCAATGAATTAAGTTCAAATAATATTGTTAAAATCGAAATTTTATATTGTAATTAATGAGTTTTTTTTGAAGTATGGGATGGACATCAATTGAAGACCAACCCCCCCGACACAAAAAAAAAAAAACACACACACACACACACCCAATTCAGCTATACGATATTATTAAGGGAAACCTCACACTTGATGTATGGTGTCTCCTACTTTTGGAAATTCTTTTTTTTTTTGCTAAAAATATATTTCCATTATATTCTGGGAGATGAACACTTACCAGAATAATTCAGGGAGAATGAAAATTTCAGCATCAATCATTTACTAGACAATCAAATCTTACCTACCAAGTCTCAACCACATCATGAAGTTATTGCGAGGAATCAAAATAGAATGGTACTATTATGACTTAAATATATAACGATGTAATAGTGATAACGTCTAATAATATTATATAAAAATTATAATTGTTAGACTTTTTATTGAAACATTGTTACATGATATATCATTAGATTATTTTTTTAGATTTTAATAGTAGTATTCGTCGAAATATAGACCGAAACTAAGGGGATGTATTTGTTAACTTAAATTCAGCACTTAAAATGAATGTATTTGGTATTTATTAATTAAACTCGTTTGATAACTAAAATTTTAATATCTTAATATATTAAGTACTCTTTAAAAATAGGGTATAATATTAAGTAGGATATCATTTACTTAATACTGAAAACTGAAAGGGTTTAACAAATACATCTTTAATAATATTATAATATGACAATTATACTCTAAAATATTTCACAACCCTATTGAAACTCTAATTAGTCTTCTTCCTAAAACTCCCAATCTATCTATCCTCTTCCCATCGTCTTCTTCAACGACACAGGTAAGTCTTCTTCCCTTGCCTTCCATGGTCTTATGCAACACACACACACACTTAACAATCTAATTTGTTCTATTTTTTTGTTTGCTACAATATGATAATAATAATAATTAAGATTTATGTTATGAATTAAACTTATTTGATATATTGTAGATTTTTATTAGATAAAAGTATATTTTATAAATATTTTTAAAATAAAGAGTGGAAGGGTAAAATTAAAATTTAATTGATTTTCAAATGTCAGTGCTTAAATATTATCTTGTATGAGGACTCGATCAATGCAAAGAAGATATGGGGGATAACGTCGGCAGGAAGTTGGATGGATCTCACTTTGTATCTATGTGAGGAGGGAGGTCAAGGACCCACTTACTTAAATAGATATCAATCCCGTTTTGTGTTCATGTCATTTTCCTATCCTTCAGGATATATACGTGAGAAAATTAAAACAATACAAAAAAGATTATCACGCTCTTTACGTAAGAATAACACGCACAACCCAAGTAATAGTCTACAGTTTTTTTTTTAAAAAAAAAAAAAAGTATATCATCATGCCACGCCATGGTCCTTATACAGGACCACTAACTACTTTCTCTCATGATGTTGGAGGTCATAACTGGAATATCAATAAAAATGCATCACTAACATGGAAGGTTGCACATCTAGGGTTATCAATTCTTCTATCTCAAAAACATGTTGTGCCCAACTGGAAATAGATTAAGTACTTAGACTATTTTGAAGTCAATTCAATGCAAAGTGCCTGTCTATTGTGCCTGCCCCTAGGATAGTTTCCTGATATTAATCTACCTGTTTTCATTTCTTATTTTTTTAATAAAAAAATTACAATTTCCTCAATTTTATTCTCGTAGCAGTACAAGAAAAATGGGCTTTTGTTTCGGAAAAGGAGGTGTAGTAAAAAGTGTCCGATGTAAAAAGTTAGATTCAATCTATAGCCGAAACAAAAACGTTTTAACTTCGATAAATTACTGGTGCAAAAAAAAAAAAATTGAAACGAAAGATAGGTAAATTACAGCTTATATTTTGTTTGGTTCATTTACATTACATATCATTAAATTCAGTACCTGATTTTTACTCAAGTCCTTGAATTATGAATTGAACAATCAAGTCCTTCAACTTCAAGTCGTGTTTCTTATTAATCGCTATACCAAAATTCGTCAATGATGTTGGGCGAATTGTTCTTTGTACTCTCAAAATTAAATTTTTTACATTACATTCTTAATATATTAAAAATATTACAATGTAACCTTTCTGTTAGTTTTTCGTTAGTTTTTTCTCCAGTGTCAATGGACTGACTTTTTGACGAAAAAATGACATAAACTAACAGAAGGACTAAGTTATAATATTTTTACTACATTGAAAGTATAATATAAAAAATTTAATCTTTCATAATAGAAAGTGTGAAAAGATTCTAAAAGAAAGTACTACATAACACGCTCCAATTAGAGGATTAATTTTTTACAAAATCGGCTTTGATGTTACAACGTGTGTCTACAAATAGTATATGTTAGCTCTTATATTATCGATTTGAGGCTTTCAATTGAATGTATTTAGTCACGTTTTTAAGATTTGACTCATTTACAAGTCGATTTGGTCAAAATTATCACCATAACTTGGAGACATGTGTTTTGATACAATCTGGTGCACTAGTACTGATATGATTGCACCCAATTATAAGGACTGTTTGGTTGGACAAAGCTGGCAAAGTAGAAGGCAAAAGAACATTTTTCCACTCTATCCCTCTCTCTCTCTCTCTCTCTCTGCTTTTATGGCGAAAGAACTCAACGCGGTGGAAAGGGGGGAAGAAGCACATGGGTTTAATGAATGCGCTCTCCCTCCTACCCTTAGTTGCCTCACATTCTCTCCATGACTCTTTTTCTCTTGAAGAAGCACCAAAATTACGTTCTCACCCTTCTCACTTTCCCTTTTTTATATCCCTTATTTGAAAATAGAAAATCAAAATGTTTTGCCAAATAATACTTTTATGTTCCACGAAATCTAAAAAATGAAAAAAATTGTTGCTAAATTTCATCTAATCTTTATTTGGCCCTCCTAAGTTTAAAATTTTGGTACCAATTATTGAACCCCAGGTTAGTTCCAATAGAATGTTTTATTGGTATGATACCTCGAGGGTTTATATCGGAGTACTCACTTACGGTACTTCTAAAGTTATCAATTTTTTTGGTTTTGGTACAATTTTGTAATCCTCATAATAGTCTAGTGATCAAGTTTGTCTCTTACAAATAATAAGTCTCAAATTCAATACTTCTTACACTCTTTAAAGGTCATTCACTCTTATTTTTCAGGGACATGTCTTTAAAGTAACTCGAATTACAATAGTCGACTCAGAATTCGAGAAAATAATCAGCACTGAATACCCTGTAACAAAAAGGATACAGGTTTCGAGGTTTGTTTATAACAAACCAAAAAAATTATAACTTTTTGGATTTTTTTTTTCGCGGGTATAAAAAAGGGGTACCGGCAAATGAGCACTCCAGATACCAACCCCGATAAGTCTTCACTAGTAGCATAATAAAACTTCTTATCGCGCTCATTACTCCTTCAAAAATGAACTAGTTAAACTATTATAGCGATCAACCATCATGCCCTAATATGAACTCCAAAACTCAAACATCTAACAACTTTAGAGTGAGAGGTTCGGCCGATACTCACTAGACCAGTCCACTCAATAGTATAACTTTTGGATTAAGGTACAACTTTTAAGTTTTAAACTACAATTTTTTATGCTAAGTTACATTTTTTGTGTGGAAATTTGAAATCGATTTTAAGAATATTGAGATCAATCACGATATTTTTAGGATTGATTGCAAGTTAACACAAAAATAATAAATAAATAAAAACCATAAAATTTTTGAAGATCTGTACCATTGGTTGGGATCAATAATTTAGTGGTGCTAAGCGCCACCAAACCACATGACTTGGCAGTAATGTTTCCATTTAGAACACCGTAATAACTCCACGATACTTAAAGTGACAGTCTGCTGATGTTTTAACTGATGACAGGCAGACAATGAATTCGTCTGGGAAGGTCACAGTAGCCCATGAGCATTAATAAAAGTCATTTGACCAACTGATCCTGCGCTTACAGACGGACCTAAATGGACTGTCATCAATTCAAGGTGACAGCTGGATCTATCTCCAATAAATACCATTGTCCACCTTAGCATACCAAGAAATCATTAAAGCCAAACGCCACCGTTTTATCACTTTTTAATAACCCACAATCTTACCCATCATTTTGGTGCATAATCACTAATCATGCCCGTTGAATCTGAATTTCAATTTCGAAGATTCGATACGGTTCAATTATGAAAGATTTATTCCTAGTGAATTCTTTAATTTTGATCTGAATGCTTTCCTTTTTATCGAGGGTTAATCTAAACGAATATAAACTGATCTGAAAACTCTCGATTATTAAAAATAATAAAAAATACAAACAATAGCCGATAAACAGAAAATCACATTGAACTTTTATTAAAATGAATAGTATACATGTTATGAACACAAAAAGATACTATAAAAACAAAGCCTATCAATCTCTTAATATGATTCTCTTTATATTTTTTGTTCTCTGGTGCTAACAATCACTATAAGCTAAAGAATCCACTGGGAATGAACATATATCTTTCACAATATTAGAACTAAGCTCTGGATTACTATTACCATACCTGACCACAGTATAATTTGATAATGACAAGGAAGAACCTGAGTTTGAGTTCCGCCCCCTGAGTGAACTCAGTTCTGGTATCAACTCGGCCGATTTGATCAAATTTATATTCTTCAGTATGAACTCATTGCCAACGAGTTGGTTAAAGAGTCCTGACTCAGTGGCCGAGTTCTTTCGCTTGTGTTGCATTGCTGCGCGAACGATTTCCGTTTGCATTGCTGTTGATAATCGTCGAATTCCTCGAGTTCCACCCATTATAATTGCTGAGTTAGCCGAGTTTTGGTGGGTAGACTGAGTTTTCCCTGAGTTCTTCTTGCCATGCTTGCTTGACATAGATGGACCCATTGTTGATAAGTATACAGTCTCGGGACTCCGATTCCTGACTCGGCTGAGTGGGTCACCGAGTAGCAAAATTTCTTTCACGTCCACTAGCATTACATGCTTGAAATTTCTTCTAACTCGGCCGAGTAGCATAGGATAACATGCCCATCTTCTCAAGCTCAATGGAACATGGTCTAAAAACCCAGCCAATGAGTTTTCTGGGTCAAGCTCATCGGCTTCAAAACCCACCACCGAGCCATAACTCAAGCGAGTCAACTCAGTCTCACTTTCGTCACTGTAATTGCTTCGAATTCTTCGACCCCATATTGGCTCTCCAGTTTCCTTTTCCTTATTTCTCGATTTTACAAACTGGGTCACATCAAAACTCGCTGCTGAGTCCGCAATAGTAGCATTCAATTCTTGATATCGATCAACGAGTTTCAGAATCGACTCGTTCTCTTCTTGGACTATAGAATCGAAAGAAACTGTTTTTGATGGGAAAATAAGCAAAAGGTCTGCTCTTGAGGTGAGAGCAGACCTGTGGAAAAGTCTCAAGAACAACCTCAGTTCTGGTACTGTGACGGACTCAGTAATATGAGCTACAATAAGGTCGTTCATGGCTTTTGTGCCTCTTCTGTACAAAGAACCCATTCCTTGCAATGCATGCGGAGGTGATGGTGATGATAATGATGATGAACTTGAAGCCATTTTTGAACTGGGTTTGAGAATATTTAGTGACCATGATGGAGGGTTCTCGATGGGTTTGAAGTGGGTGGGTTTGTAAATTTTGGAGTTTGAAGAGAGGTGTCTTCTAGGAGTGAAGTGGGTGGTGGTGGTGGGTTCGAAGGTAGAGAGAGTGAAGAGGAGGAGAGTGATGAAGATGAGGAGAGCACATACGGAGATGGTGGATTGGGCTCTGCTGAGGAGGTGTGCTGAATTGGTTCGTCTGAGGAGGGTATTGATGGGTTTGAATGAGGTTGAAGATGAAGATGGAGAAGAAGAACAAGAAGAAGAGAACAGATTGTTGGGTTTCTTCTTGTTGGCTATGGATTCTTCATCTTCAGGGAAGAAAACTAGGAGGAAACCCATGCCCCAACCTTCACTACTATTCTTGCCCTTTGCTGTGAATCCCATCTCTCTCTCTCTCTCTCGGTATGTTTGTCTCTATACATAGTAACACGAGACAAGAGCTGCTGTCTATAGTGTGTGTGTAGTGTGGGTTTTATGAATTAGAATGTCCTCAATTTTAATTCTGTTGATTTTCATCAAAGCCAGGAATTTATAAATTAAATTTAATGACTTCTATTGGGTATCGATGAAATTAATAGAAATATACTGCAAATCCCTAAATAATTTTAAAAATAAATAATTGAATTTAATCCAATTAACAAAATTTATACTCAGGGAATTCAGATCCTTGTCTTAATCGTGTTTTATGCTGTTGCTTAGACTTAAACAAAGACTTTTTTGGTGCATGTTAAGAAAGTAAAACTTTTCCTAAATAAATAAGGAAAAGTAGGACCGAAGGACAAATAAAAGGAAAAAAAATAATTACCAATTTTCCTTGTTATTTGAATCTAATAATGAACTGTAATAGCATAAGTAATAATAGAAATGGACTGTCAAGATGTCGATCGAGTCGATCTATAGTAAATATTTTAATTTTGGTATAAATAATTTATTATTAATTAAATTAAAAAAAATTAATTACGGTATACATAAGTTAATACCAACAATTCTAATTGTTTGAAAAAAAAAATGTCATAGGGATATATTGTCCTTTCGTTCTTGGTGGGTGAGTTGGTAGCTCCAGGGTACAACAAGCTCATAGTACAGTGGGATATTGAGTGGTGGTGACTGAGCGTCGGTGGAGGGATGGACGGAAGGAGGTACAACTTGTCACTTCATCTGAGCTACTGCCATTTGGCAAGGGCTTCGTCATACATATGAATGTCAATGAATCAAAACGGGGCGAGAAGCGTAATCTTCGTCTCGTACTCGCTTAAACAAATTTCGTTTATTTTTGATTCATTCCTGTTAACAGATATAATATTTATTCACATTTTTGTTCATGAGTAAATTTTTAATTTTTGTCCCCGCTCCTGTTTTTCTCGTACTTGCCTAAGCCCAAGTTTAAGTAGCATAATCTAAAATTCTAAATAAATTTAATATTTTAAATAATCTAACAAAACATAATGTATATTATAAAATATAAAAATTAAAATAATATAATATTCTATTTAAAGTGTCATTAAATCACAAAAAGATAAACGGAACTATCAGAGAGAAAGGAAGAATAGGAAAATAAAATTGAACTAAAAAAATAATAGCACTATACTTGAAATTTTCTAGAAGAATTTTTATTATTACAATTCATATTACAGCCATAAAGTGTTAAAATTTAAAATTCCGCTAATTCAATTATTCTTCTTATTTCTTAATTCATTCTAGCAGAAACTTATCAACCTTCATTTACAAGATTTCTATCCACGATGAAATACAAAACTATCTTACTGTCTCTTATCTGTTTTTAGAGTATGACCAATCCAAACTCCTAATAGTTTCAACCAATGAGTACAAATAGAAAAAAGAACAAGGAAAAAAGTTGATACGATTACCACATGACAATACCACTTGTTAGTTTGATTATCATATTTCTAGATCAGTAGTTATAGTAAATATGTTTAGTTAAAACTTAAGAGTATTTTATTTATTTATATATATAACGGGTAACGGGGGCGGGAAGGGGATAAGGGTAAGTCCATCCCCGCTTTCATCCTTGTACGGGTTTATACGGGTATTTTCATATATGTTCAACGTCCAATACGTATAGTCCATTCTTGGTCCAAACAGAACGAATTTTGACGAATATCCATTTTTCCCGGTCTACTGTCATCCCTAATCATACATATCAGCACTATTACAATCCCCACCTAAATTTTATTTTTTTTAATATCATAACCTTATTTTTTGATTAATAAAATTTAATTTTATGAAAAACATATATTAATAATTTTATATTATTTAATCAATATTGCCGATCACTAGCTACAAACTAATTATAGAAAAACCACGATTAATAATTAATTTTAACATCATATCCAACAAATTGTCTCGTGTTGTAGCCATACCCAATAGTAATTGTTTTAGGATCTCATGTTGTCAATTGAGTCATATCGGATCATATAATTTGAAATGTATAATTACATTTTATTTATATCATTTTTGATTTGTGAATAAAAACTGCAAAATTAGGGTTTTTTATCTTATTAATTGAATCTACACCTCGATGATCAAAAGTTATTGTAATTATACACCAATTAATTCAATACAAAATCAACAAATAGAAAATAAAAAATCAAACAACCAAATTATTCTTATTTCAATTAATTAAACTATTATTTGTGCTAATTAATCGTATTAATTTTAATTTATATTAATTTTATGCCTGAAGACATAAAGTAATAAAAAATGATAAATAATAAACATATTTGTATTGTTTTCTATGTTTTTAATAATGGTGGTGGTAGTGGTGGTGGCAGTGATGGTGGTAGAGGTAGTGGTGAGGCAGTTTCAAATACTATTTTTTTTAAAATACTTATGAGAAATAATTCGTACAAGTATTTTTAAAAAGTCACTTCAAACACATCTTAAAGGACATATTTTTTCTATCAAATTTAAGATGTTAATATTAACCGTTAGATTAATTTTAAAATAAAATTTAAAACGATCTGAACCGCGAAAAATAAAAGTCATTTTATTTATCTTTTAAAATTTGAATTATAAGCTATTTTATTATATAAAAGATTATATTACCAAATATTATGTCTAAACCTACCTTTCCCAACTCTTAACTCAACGTCTTATATCATTTAAGAGCCTATCAATCCCATTTAATTTTTATTTAAGGGCCTATCAATCTCATTTTAATTATTATCAATTTTATGCCATATAAAGATATTATAGTATCAAAAATTATGCCTGGCCTACCTTTCCCAACTCTTAACTCAATGTCTAATCTCATTTAAGAGCCTATCAATCTCAAATAGAATATTTTATTTAAAATCCAGCAAACACATTTAATTTGTTTAAAGAGTACAAAAACAAAATGATTAGGACTAATTTGATTGTTAATCACATGTGGTTATTGTGCTAGATCGCATAGAGCGAGAGCCAAAAAACGGTAATATTCAAAAAAAATTGAGAGCGAAAACAACTTAAGAGCGTCATATTATATGTATACAAATACACATTCACCTATAAAAGTTTAATATATATAGAATATAAAAAATTAAAATTTTATGCACAATTATGAAGCAAATTATTTAATTTTTAATTATATGTTGATTATAAAGTCTTAAAATGATAATTATAGTTTACAAATATTATTATAGTTTGATATATATCTTTAAGCCTAAGTCTGTACTTCCCAAATAAAAATTTAAATAATAATAAGTAAGTAAATACGTGAATTACTCGAATTCTCAAATTAAAAAACTAAATTCACAAATTTTATAAAATGAGAGCGCAGATTAACGAAGAAGTCGTTCCCACGGTGCGAGAATGTTAAGAATTTTAGAAGAATTATGTGACTAAGGATGTGAGACGACTAAGCTCTTCTCACTCTCTTGCAAGCGGTTGGACCACACGCTCAGTTATTTCCCATTAGGCATTCAAAGTTCTTGTATGGTCCTGTGACATCACTCATGGATGCACTTTGGAATAAAACTTTTAAAAATACTAGTTTTTTTTTTTTAACAAAGAATGACAAAATATCATCACGTTACATAGAAAAATTTAAATTACAGTCAGACAAAATAAAAGCCTTAAGCTCAGAAGGGGAGGAGCCTAACCAATCCAGCGGTAATGAATTAGTTAGTTTAGAAGCTACCACCCAGTGAGCAGCCCTATTACAGGTCATAGGCTTGTGTAAAAAACTAAAATTATATAACCTAACAAAAAATTTAATATCATCCATTATGGCCCTAATCTCCCAAGGGGGAGCATCTTCCGCAGTACTTAACTTAATGATGGAAAGACAATCATTCATGCTAGTTATATTAGTCATCATAAGGGCGTTAGCAAGAAGACAAGCATGGCAGACTGCTTCGGCTTCAGAGGACAAAGAAGACGCAGCAGTAAATGGCATGGCTGGCATCGAAAACCAGCCCACCATCTTCATTACACATCACCACGCCACAAGCAACTTTCCCAGAACTTGGAGTGAAGGCACCATCATAGCATAAAAGAACAGAAGATCCAAGGGGAGGGGAAGGCTCCACTGAATCCACCAGACCATCAGACCTCAAAACTCCAGTAGCAACCCCACAAAACTGATCCCTCCACAAGCACTGGGCACGCAAAAGTGATGCAAAAGCATTGACCTCTTCGTCACAAAACACTTTTTGGTTCCTGGCTTTCCAAAGAACCTATCCCATAGTTGCCATTTTCCCCAAAAGCACCAGCCTACTTGCAGCATCCTCCACCATCTCTAGTAAACTTGAGGATCGTTGCATCACAGACATGAAGGAATCCTCTTCCCTCCCGACAAACAGATTCATTCCAAACCAAATCCTTTTAGTCTACTCACACTCAAACAAAAGATGTGCAGTGGATTCAGGGAAAGACAAGCATATAGGGCAGCAAGGAGAGGAAGCACACTTACATTTAAAAAGGTTCTCCTTAGTGGCAAGAATATTATGGCAAGTTCTCCACCAAAAATGCCTCACCTTTGGCAATGCCTTCATGTTTCAGATCGTCTACCAGAGCTTGGGATAAGGAATACCAGAAGAGCTGCAACCCATTAAGTTCGTCAAATGTTTGTTGCCCATCATATACCCAGATTTGACATAATAGAGCCCCTTGTTGCTTCGCCACCAGACATGCTTATCTTTACCTCCTCTGATTGAAAGTGGAATTGACTTGATAGCATTTATCTCCTCCCTTGAAAGGACATCAGCCAAACAAGATTAATCCCAGCGGCTAGGATCCATTTTAATAACATCAGCCACCTTATCAATCCTACAGTCGAGGGGTTTAGGAGACTGTACCGTCAAGGAGGAAGATAGGGAGGCCCATTCGTCAGTCCAAAAACTAACCTCCTTCCCATCCCCAATATGCCACGTGATGCCTTT